GCCTGGGCTTGCTGCAGGACTTGAACTCCTGGGACATGGGCATGTAAGTCCCAAGGAGAATGCGGTCGGGGGGAGGGTAAACCCCCCAGCCCAACAGCTAACTACTAACTAGCACTACAACAACTAAGAACTAGCTATGAACTAATCAACTAGGGGATAGAAACAGTCGGAAAGAGCAGCTCGGGAAACGTGGGGAGCTTGCTGAGCAAGTCGCCACAGTTCCAACGACCGTCACGGGCGGTAAGAAGGAACCGAGGCGGCGCCAGGTCGGCAGGGGCATCCATAGAGCGCTATGGAGGCGCCACTCCAGGGGGCTCCACGGCCGACCCAACGGGTGCTGCTGGGGGGAAACTTTCCGACGAGCGTGCACGCGGCGCGCACCTACTGGAATGGATGTGAGCAGCCACTCGAAGACGAAGTATGTGCTGAGAGCCGCATAGTACCTTCCACGCACAGGCAATTACGCTGTTTACAGCCTCCGAGGAGAAAGCACCACGCAACCCTTGGCCTGCTCAGGCAGCCCGGCCTGCTGGGGTAACGGTGTGAACAGGGAGCTGCCAACACCCTGCTCAGGAGGGGAAAGAACAGGTCTCTGCCCACAGGAGGTGATGGCTGGGAGCCGGGAGCCTAGAGTGGGGCAATATGGGGGCAGCTGCCCTGAACTGTGACACAAGGGACCAGCTGCTGCTCTAGCCAAAGGCTTTTAGGAAGCCACTTGAAATGCAGATCTCAAGCGGTCTAAAGCCCAGGACAGGTGGCCACAGCAATGCCCCCAAACACTCCATCAGAATACACAGGAACCTGGCTCCGTGCCCTAGGACAGGCTCCCGCTCCATAAGCCCCGGCCCTCCTCACTGCTCCGCCGACAGGCTGAGGGGCTCGGGCAGACCGAACGGCACATAGCGTACCTGCGGCGTTGCTCAGACACACTCCCTGGGTTACAGACCTACTGGAAACGGGGCAGGGCGGGATGGGACTCAGCCAGCCTAGGCCCCTGTCCCTCCTCCCCCAGCCGGGCCTGTCACACAATCACACTCATCAAAACTGCAGATGGCAAACCAGGCCTGACATCTGCTGTCCCCACCACGAAGGGACACGACTGCACCATGGACGCTGGGATGCTCTGCCCCAGGTACCACCCACCAGTGGGCAGCCCTTCGTTACAGCCTGTGGCAGGGGCCTGGCCCTGTCTCATCAATGTGACACACAGCGTGACGGCCCCCTGCCCGCCCAGCTCCGCCACTGTAGTCTCAGCCCTGCCTTTGGATTGGGCTTTATGCAGCGGTTGGTCCCAGTGGCCATGGTCAGAGCTGGAGCGGGACATACCGGGAGCTTGGGGGGCGGGGGGGAGCTGGGGTCCGCTGCTGCTCGGTGCTAAGGACCCTGGAGCTGGGACCTGGCCCTGTGAGCCTGTGCAAAGCTCTGGGTTGTTCCCGTGTCGGGTTTGACCCCTTCCAGGGATGGGCAGCTCGGGTCTGGCTCTGAGCTTGGCTGATGCCCACCTGGGTTTTGCAGGCAGGTTGAGAGCCTGTCCCACTCGGGAGTGGGGGCTCAATGAGCTTTCTACAGGGTGCGGGAACAGGTGGTTCTAAGGGCTGGTGTGCAAAATTGATCCCCGCTCTCCTACTGGTGGACAGATCCGGACCCTCTCCCCATAGGAGAGCCAGGCTCCTCCGAGGGTGGGGGGATATTGTACAGACTGGCTGGAGGAGGTGGCTGCATGGGGCACTCCCTGACCTCCAGACTCCATGTATAAGCAGTTAAAGGGACACTCAGATTCACTCCCTCTGCTTTCCCTTGGCACTGGCAGAGCCGGCTTTGGGCACCCGCCGCACGGGGAGGCAGGTTCAGTAGCGGCTGATGGGGAAGGGCTGCGCTGATGGGTCAGGCACTAACGGCACACGGGAGCTCGGGGTCAATTCCCGGCTCTGCCCCCGACGCCCTGTGTGGCCATGGGCGAGTCCCTTAGGATGAGTTGTGAAGGGGAGCCTCGCCCACCGGGGCCATCGAAGGTCGGCCCCTGCCCCAGCAATGGCACAGGGACGACGCCACCGCCCTGGGTAGGGCCAGCAGCACGGGGCCGGCTCAGACGCTGGGGCAACAAGGGCCAGGGCAAGGCCTAGAGAGAGGTGGAAAAACGAGAGAAACCCAAACAAACGTCCTCAGAGGTGACTTCCCATCCCCCAAACGGCCAATGAGTCTGTGTCGAGCATGGGTCAGCATTCCACTGCCTGCTCCCGGGACGGCACAGACACCGGCTGTGTGACTACAGCTCAGACTACGGGCCCGGCCGCGGCTCTCCAGCCGCCCGCGCCGACCCCGGGGCCCGGCCGCGGCTCTCCAGCCGCCCGCGCCGACCCCGGGGCTCTGGGCATCTGCAGAGCCCTTTGAAGCTTACAGTCTGATCTGAAGGCCACAGGATCTTTCCCACTCACTTCAGTGGGCTCTGGAGCGGGCGGTTGGCCTGACTCTGCACGGTGCTGAGTGAGTTCGGCTCCCACTGGTTGCAGTGGGGGTTAAAGGAGCTTGGCACTGGCTGGATTTGGCTCTCTGCCCTTCCCCAGTCAGCAAATACTAGTGCTCTGAAGTTACCCCACCTCCTGGAGGGGAGACTCTTGACACTTGCCCACCAGGACAGGGTTTTGAAGATCTTTCCTCAGGACTGAGAGGAATGGATTTATTTAATGCAAGCCAATCCTCAGCACAGGGCTATCAAGATGAGCCAGCCCCACTCTAAACAAAGCAGCAGCCATAAAAGCGGAGGGAGAAGATATTCCTAAGCCTCCCACCTACAACAAGTCATCCAGAGGAGGGTCATTTCTAGAGGAGCCGCCACCTTAACAGAGTCCCCCTAACCACACCTGGCCTTGTTCCATCTCTGTGCATCAGCTCTCGGCACTGCTCTGGGAAGGGCAATCTGTAGTTAACTCCTTCTGCAGAGCTCAAGGTCATACTGTGATGGGAGGCACTGACAGGCCCCACTACAAATGGATACGGGCAACCCAGAACATTGTCTGCAGCCTGTTCCGTCTTCTGATTGGGGCTGCCCAGAATCCTCTCCAGTGCAGGAGGGCGTAGCAAGGGGGAACCCACGGCACAACCGCCAGGGGCCCTGCTGCTCCTTGCCAGCTTGTGTCACACAGAGGAGGGCTGGAATTCGGGAGATCAGACCACAGGCTGGATCCTGGGTTGAGGAGCTGGGAAGGGGTGAGGGAATGCCACTCATCCAGCAACTGGCAGGAAGTTAAGCCCAGCAGAGCAGCAGGCTGCCAGGGGAAAGCGGCATTTCTGCTGCACTTGTGACCTACCCAAGCGCCCGAGAGGGGAGCGAGCAGGTGGGGAAGGAAATGGGCAGTACGAGGATTAAACGTTTCTATGGATAGTGAGACCATCTGGCTCTATGTTCTCCTGCTTCACAGCACAGGTCAAGCACTGGCAGAGAGGGGCTGGAAAGACACTTCCCTGGAACGGAATAGCCTGCGCCCAGGGGCTCCTTCCCCTCCCTCAGACACTGGCCACGCCTGCAGCAGACAGACCCCTGGGCTCTTGGCCTGCCTGAGGAATAAACACACCCAACCCTGCAACGGTCTGCTCACACTTCGCAGCTTCCTCCGAGCAACTGCAGCAGGGCCGTTTGCAGCGGCCCACCGCTCAGGGTACGTCTGTCCTGCAATCCCGGGGTGACTGCAGCTCCTTCGGCCTGTGACACTGAACACAGCTAGAAAACCCCTGGGCACCGTAACTTTGCCAGCCTCACCCGCCCTGTAGAAGCAGCTTCCACTGACCCAGCTACTGGCGCTTGGGGAGGTGGAGTTCCTGGAGCGATGGAAACCCCCCTTCTGGCCTGTAGCCGGCAGCTACACGGCTGGTGCTACACGGCAGGTGCTCCAGCAGCACAGCGAAGGTGCCGAGCGGTGCCACTGCAGTGCCAAGAGTGCAGACGTGGCCTTAATCGGGCTGGCGCTGGCCCCAGAGCAGGGGCTAGTGCCATGGTAATGAATCCAGGCCTGCCCTGGGACCTGAGCACGTCTACTGGAGCTGCAGTTACCCTGTAGGATTCCAGCATCGGCAGGCCAGACCCCGCCATGCACAAGGGGCACTCAGTGACCCCCTTCTCCCTGGGAACAAATGGCAGACATGGGCCAAATCTCCAACCCACGCAGGAAGTTTGGGAGACGCTGACCCAGCCAGGGGAGAGGGCCCCCAAAGGGCTCGGTGGGTGCGGAGGGCAGCCTCAGCCCAGGCGATGGCCATCCCGGGGGCCTTCCCCAAGGAGCAGCAGACGCCAGGCAGGGACTTTGCCATAATTCTTTTATTTCAACGTGGGGAGCTTTTACATTGGTACAAATCTATTTTCAGGCCAGAAATCTGACTCGGACTGAACCATTCCTCTATATACACATACATGATGCTTTCAGGGGGGCCATAACTGAAGGCTGCACTGCCATACGTACAATGGGGAGGTGGGTCCGAGGGGGCTGGGTGATGCACGCACAGGAATGCAAGTCCACAGGGCCAAGAGCACTGGAGGATTAGATGGTGCTGTTGCCACGGGGAGGTCAGGGCAGTGCACGTCTGAGATCCAAGGGGCTGGCTTTCCTTTCGGGACTGCAGCACATGACTGCCTGCCTTGGGGGAGTGATGGGGGAGGGGGAGGCAAGGCCAGTCCAGTCACACGCCCACAGACACACGCTTGTTTGAGGCTGGAGGTAGCAGAAAATGCTTTTACACATCTTCCCTCTGGCCTTACTGGCCCAGCTGTGCCATCAGCTGACTGTTGCCAGGGAAGGATTTGTAAGGCAGAGTCCAGGGGTGGGGGTGGAGGGGGGCGGGCGTGTGGCTTCATTGGTCCGTCTAGTCCCCTCCTGCCGCTTCCTCACATGCTTGCTTGTGATGCTCTGGAATTTTGTGCGGCTGGGGTGTTGGGCTCCGGCATGGTCTCTGGAGATCCTTCCCCAGCTGAGGGCTGTGACCACCTCCGCCGCCTCTCCCCTGGAACAAGCCCCCTGCTGGATCACACACCCTGGAACCCACAGCAGCAGCCAAGTCCCTCCGACTCCCCTCCCCAGGTCACTGTCTCCATGCACGCCAGCAGCAGCTGGTGCTCAGAGGACGACCCTTCGGTCTGGGGGCTCTCCCCGGCCAGCCCGCTGGTGTCTCACTTCCAGGTGCTTGTTCTGGACTCGCTCAAAGTGCTGCAGCAGCTCCAGGTAGTCGATGTTGGTGGCGGTCGCTTTCTTGAAGCCCAGGGTGGTCTTAGTGCTGTCTCTGGGGAGAGGAAGCAGAGAGAGATGAGAGGGCGTGTGCCAAGCACCCAGTCTGTTACCACCCCCACGCAGACACCACATACCGGAGCTCCCTGCCCCACGGGCCAGACGCTTGTGCTCTCTCAAGAGTCACCCCCACACCAGCAGCGTTAGACAGAGCTGCTGCCCTGCGTGTGCGGTTCCTCAGGTGCCATTCACGGCGTGTGACGCTCCCTCCCAGGCCGGGGGGGCCTAGCAAGCTGGGGGCACCAGGCTGCTTTTCTAATCCCAGGGTTCTGCAGAGACAGTCCAGGGCCCCAGCTGCAAGGCATCTCCCCCGGCTGAGCAGACAGCGCCCGGGACGCCAGCCTGCCTGAGCGGGAAGGGCACGCCAGGTTACGGTGCTGCAGCCAGTGCAGAGGAAGCCCGCAGCGCCGGGGAAGTTACTGACCCAATGGGACCAAGGACCAGAGCACCCAGCCGGGCCGTGGCCTCGTGTCCTTTCAAAGCCAGCCCCACACACCCACCAAGGCCACTGCCCTACAACCCTGCTGGACTGCCCCCCATGCCCATCTGGCTCTTCGCTCCTGTCCGACTGCACCTCCAGCAGGGCCGGCCAAACCCTGCCTCGGATAGTGCATGCACCAGCCCCCCTCTGCGTCGGGAGTCACTGCTGCCACATGTCCCCGTCCCCCACAGAGCAGGCTGCCCTCGCCCACGCGCCCCACCCTGCCGATCAGCACAATGGGACAGGCTCTTGTCCCACCTCGTGCTCCCGTCTGTTCCCAGAAGCCCCGAGGGTGGGGGGAAAACGGCCCAGCCCGATGTTATCCCCCACGCCCAGTGCCTGTTCCAGCCCAGCTCCAGCTGACATCACAACAATGGGGCCGGTCGTGTCGGGGTTCCTGGGGGACGCTCAGCCCCAGCCCCTCCCAACTCCCCACGGGGCTGGGTCGGGTGAGGCTGCAAGGAGACGACAAACGTACATGTGGGCACCCGTGGCTCAGAGCCAGAACCGCTGCCTGGGAAGGGGGATCCGGGCAGGCTGGGGCAGGAGAGGTGGGACTGTCCCGCGGGAAGAGCACACGGTGGGGCAGTCTGCCCAGGGCCGGGCGTGCTGAGGGACCCTGGGCCTGTCCCTGGGCAGGAGAGAATGAGCTGCTGGAGGGGGAAGCAGTCTGAGCAGCCATGGGCTGATCTCAGCTGCCCTCCACCCTCCCCTGGCAGGGGAGAGAGCCTGGCCTAGTGCCAGGCGGGAGCACGGGAGCTCCCCCTTGGGCTGACCGAAGGGGCACAGGTCCAGGCTAGTGCGGGATGGCTCAAGGGGGCTCCGGACAAAGAGGGTCAAAGCACTTGGACTCCTGCCGCCAGCGCCCACAAAAGCCACGTGGCGTGCTGCTAAAAACAGGCCGTCTGGGCGGTTCAGCGGCTCGCCAGGGTCACGCAGGGGCAGCGGCGGCACTGGAAATAGAGCCTGGACTGTCAGCCAGCAGCTCTAACCACAGGCCAAGCTGGCTTGCTCCGAGGGTGGCAAAGCAGCGACTGCAGCAGGATGATCCTGGGTGGGAGACCCCCCCGTTCTCAGGTACATGCCCGTGGGAGACCAAGCCCTGTGCATTTCAACTGCCAACAAGCTGCGTGGGCTCCACTCAATTACTGCCAACTTAGCGGCATCCGCTTTGCAATTCTGAGGGTCTGGCTACACCCAAATTGCCCTGGGTTAGTGGAACCAGTGCAAAAGGCCCTGGGCACAGGCTTGTTCTGGTTCATTGGGGTTTAGTTTCAACCCAGTTCTAAGCAACTTATGCTGCATGGAGATAAAAGCCGCCCCCCACCCACGGGGTTGGACTGGTTTGACTCCGGGCAGGTCTCCACTTACAATGCTGCCCGCGTCGCGCTCCAGGGAAGAAGCTACCACACCAGCAGGAGAGCTTCTCCCGCCTCCGTAGCGATGGCAGTGGGGAAGCTCTCCTGCCAGCCCAGCACTGTCTACACTGCGGGTTAGACTAGGTAACTGGTGGCTTTTTCACACTCTGAGCGACAGTTATACCGATGTACGTTTATAGTGTAGACCAGTCCTAAAGTCTGTTTAGACTCACACCTGAAGTGAAACCAGGGCAACGCTGCAGGGAGACCAGCCCCGAGTGCCGGCTCCAGGGCTGTCTGTACTGCGGGCACGAGGAGGGCGAGGGATCGCCCACTGGCGCCATGGCGTCATGCGTCAAGGCTGGCAGAGGGAGCTCCCTCGGGCTTAACTAACTGATTTTCGGGGTGGCAAGTGTGGTGCTTGGGAAAGGGACGCACCTAACAGCACAAACAGGCGCTGAGGGACCTGCCTCAGTGCAAGACACGAGAAGTAATTCTTCCGCTCTACGCCGCGCTGATTAGGCCTCAGCTGGAGTATTGTGTCCAGTTCTGGGGCCCCATGTCTGGAAAGATGTGGACAAACTGGAGAAAGTCCAGAGACGAGCAACAAAAATGATTAAAGGTCTAGAAACCAGCTATGAGGGAAGATTGAAAAAACTGGGTTTGTTTAGTCGGGAGAAGAGAAGACTGAGAGGGGACATGATAACAGTTTTCAAGTACATGAAAGGTTGTTACAAGGAGGAGGGAGAAGAATTGTTCTTCTTAATCTCTGAGATAGGACAAGCAGCAATGGATTTAAATTGCAGCAAGGGAGGTTTAGGTTGGACATTAGGAAAAACTTCTTAACTGTCAGTGGCTAAGCACTGGAATAAATTGCCCAGGGAGGTTGTGGAATCTCCATCATTGGAGATTTTTAAGAGCAGGTTGGACAAACACCTGTCAGGGATGGTCTAGATAATGCTCAGTCCTGCCAGGAGTGCAGGGGACTGGACTAGATGACCTCTCGAGGTCCCTTCCAGTCCTACGATTCTACCGATGCTTCTCAATCCAGACCTGCAGCCCCCTGAGTAATTCCAGCCCGAGAGCCCCTCAACAGCTCTGCCAATACCCTAAATCCAGACCTGGCCCATGCTATGCCACTTAGCCCCCCCCGAGCTCTTCTGATGCCTCTCCATCCAGACAGGCACCCCCTGCTATTCCACTCCTAGTCCCCCAGCCCCCCGGCTCTGCCAAAGCCCCTCCATACTTATGCTCTGGGAAGGCCCCACTGTGCTGGGTGCTGCCCTGAAGAACCTGCAATCCAAGCGCAAGAGCACAGAAGAGGAGGATAATGCACGCGGCTATTCCAGCCCGTGTCTCCTCCCACCCAGCTCCGCCAAGGCTCCTCATGCTGTGCACCAGTCCTGCTATTCCAGGAGGGGAAAGCGCAAGGCACTAAAACGCCAGTGTTCAATCCTTTCCCACAGCAGTACGGGAATCCCGCCTCCCGGCTCTGCTGGCTGGCTCTGCGCCTCTGCCTGCTCTGCTTAGGAAGCTGGACTTGGCCAGATCATAAAGAGCGTTTGTCTCCTCGAGATTAATTGGAATTAGGAGCAAACCTGAGACCCGGCTGTGTGTCTGAGGTAGTGCTCCCCACCCTCGGCAGCGCTGAGACACTGGCGGGAGGAGAGGTTTCCCCTGGCCTGGATATTTGGGGGAGGGAGGCCAATCCACAGAGCTTGACATTTGGGAAATCAACAACCCCTACCTACACACACAAGGTGATTAACGGAGGAGGGGCAGAAACAGACAGGGCCTGTTTGTTGAGCTTTGAGGAGCTTAGAAGGGGAAGAAAAAACAACCCCCCACTGAAGGCTTAACCCTTCAGACACCCACTACATGCTGCAGAGCAGCAGAGAATATCTCCGAAATGCTTAGCCAGACAGCGCTGAATGGCCCAGTTTCTCCTGCTGAATCAGATGCTGCCTGAGTTCCTGTTTCCAGCCAGTGGGTATCTCCGCTCAGTGGCTGGGAAGACAGAACCGCTGGGCGAGGGGGTGGCAAGGAGCAGCCCTGGCAAGGAGCAAGGTGCCAGTTTGCTGGGAGGTCAGCACTGATTGGGGGCCCCCGGGAGGGGGCGGGAACAGACACTGCTACTCTGCTTAGCAAGTGGCTAATGCTCCCTTCAGAGCCAGGCATGCTGAGCCAAGCGACTGGCCTAGGCCATGTTATGCCTGGAAGTGCCATGCAGTGCTTGGGGAAACTCCTGCCATGGCTCTCATCTCACAGGGTCCCTAGGGCCCCTGCTGATTCTCCCTCCTGGCCGCCTTGTTCCAAGGAAGCCATGCTGGGCAGCTGAAGGCGAGCGTGTCTGCCCAAGGTCCTGTCTTCACTGGGCCGGGACAGTGGGGGGAAACATGCGGCCAAGATCCGGCTCATGGTGCTTGTGGTGTCAGAGCAGGCAGTGCTCATGGGCTGACACCATGTGATTACCTGGGTCCCTATCATGACCACAACATACTATTTATTTTCTCTAAAGCCATAGATCTACCTGGCTTGGCTAGCTCTGCTCCCAGTCCAGTGTGGACGAGACGTAACAGAGCAGGCCACGCACTGAGAAGTAACACTTCCTGATCCCCCAACCCCCCACTACTCCACCGAACTCAGGGGATGAGGTTCTGCCAAGCCTTTTGCTCCACTGAACTCACTAGGGAAGTGTGGGGCAGACCCCTGCTACTCCCTTGGTAGGTACAGCATCCCCACAAGCCCAGTCCCACTGGCCCAGTATAGTGCCCACTTTGGGTTACTGCCATGGGGCAGGACCGTAAGACAAATGCTTTGAGGCTGAGGGAGTTCCTTGCCCCTGGCTTTCCACCTGCACTGCTCAGAGGCTGAGGGGAAGAGCACAAGGCAAAGAGAGGCCGGAGGAGCACTGCTAGGGTCACAGGCAGAGCGCCCAGCAGAGTGCAGCCCCACAATGCCGACTGAGAGCTGGTCACCTCCAGTACACTGCGCTGGGCTGCTGTTGGCATTTACTTGTGGGCAAGCGTCCGTGAAGCCAAAGTGCAAAGAGCACTAGCCTGAGACAAGTGTCATCTGGGCAGGCACCGAGTCCTGCAGGCAGATGCCAACGGGAACGCCGCACCCCTGCAGCACCACCACTGCTGCTCCAGGCCTGCGAAGGGATGGCCAAGGGCACCTGCAACGAGCCTTTTGCCACGAGGTTTGGCCTCTGGTTGCTAGTGACCAGAGTGCATTACCAGCTCCTTGGAGGCTCATGTAAGAAGGATCGATGGCCTTAGTCTTGTTCATAGGGGACAGGTGGCCGCTTCCGTCACCGCTGGCCCCTCAGCAGACAGGCCGAGATGAGGAATGGGGCACAGAATCCCCCCCAGCAGCGAGACCCTCCACGGGAGGAAGGACGCGCTGGAGGCCATGGTACATTTGTTCGGGATGGCCAGTTGTGCTGCAGTTTGGAGACGTAAAGCCTACAGGGAGTGACAGCACCCAGCTCCCTTTCACACGGACTGTGGCACTCGCGAACCCGGCCCCCCACAGCAGGATGGCCAGCATGCTAAGCCACCAGGCTGCGGCTGTTTTAAATGCTGCCAACAGTCTGCGTTAGGCAAGGTTCTGGCGTCTCTCTCTGGAGTTGGGGGTTTCTCTGAAGACGACTGCCGCATGGTAGTTGAAACCTCAGGAACCACAAGAGGCACCGTGGGCTAATAGGTAGGACACTGGATTGGCCATCCTGGGCTCTAATTCCAGATGTGCCACTGGCCTGCTGGGTGACCTAGAGAGAGGCACACCTCAGTGCCTCAGGTCCCCCCCCTCGTCTTGTCTATTCAGACTGTAAAGCTGTGGGGGCAGGGATGGCCTCTCACTTTGTGTCTAGCGCAATGGATGCAGAACTGTAACAGACTAGAACGGACGTGCAACTCTCCTGTGCCGACCCCCACTCTTGGATTAAGAGATTAACCCAAGGCTCAGTGATGGTCAGACTGGGGAACCCAGGGAAATTCACATCCAGGGATAAATGCAACAGTCTTCTCTGCAGAGAGACGTTTAAGAAGAGAGCTAGTCCATACAAGGAGTGCAGACAAAGGAGATGGGACACCTTGATGGAGATGGAAAACCCGCCAGGCATCTCTGTCCAGGCAGTGGGTTGACCCCTTTCCCCCACGGCTTCCCCCTGCCCCAGCTGGCTCTCCCAAGGAGGGGCAGCTTGCTCTGTTAGGAGAGCGGGCTTCGATGTTTAATGGAATGTAGGTCACAGTTAATCAGATGCTCAGTCTGTCTGACAGCTCTGATTGCTCCAAAAGCCCGTAGTCGGGGGCGAAAGGAGGAAAACCCTCCCCCCCGAACATACACACAAATATAACTGCTCACACTCAAAAAAATACCCTGGCTGAGAACAGAGGCCAATGCTCCTGAGCACACAGGCTGGGGAGCGAGAGGCTCTGGATAACAAGGGACTAGTTAAAAGGCAAGGATCTGCTTTCGGCCCATCTTGGAACGTTGTCCCCATGGCTTTGCAGAGGAGGGATAAGTCTTTAATGTCTCCAGAAGGGATGTGCCACCGCTGAGGAGCAGCCCTCCCAGCTCATTAGCCTGGACTTCGAAAGAGCTACTTCCCCGCCAAGTGGGGCAGCCCAGCCGAACGGAGATGGGGTGGGCTCACCTGGACCAGGGCGAAGATGTTCCCAGGAGCCCTCCCCACCACAGCCAAGAGACGCCTCATCAGTGCCAAGAGAAGAGGAGAGCCACATACACTGGGACATTTTATGCCTGGCACTGGTTTTATGATAGCGAAGAATTAACAGCACAGGCTGGAGACCCTGGCACGCCACAGCTTCCCTCTCCCAGGAGGCCTTGCCTGACCGGCCACCCTCAGCCCTAACTGCATTCTGCTCCAGAGATTTCATACCATGGTGGACAGATGTCCAGCAAGGATCAGAACCTGGCCGCCCTGGGCCAGCCTGAAGAGCGAAGCAGCAAGGCAAGCCCTGATCTCTGGCTCCAAGCCAGAGGGCCCCAGCCACTAGGTCCCTGGGTCAGCCCCCCCTTGCTGCGCTGTGTGCCCAGCTGGAGGGGTCCACACTCCGGCTGGAGAGCTCCCTGCCTGCAGCAGCATGCAGAGCTGGCTCGGTATACAGTAGATGGGCATGCCGGGCTGGGCACTGCTGAGGTTCCTGGCCCAGTCTGCACAGCTGATGTCTAGGTCCCTGCCCCCTAAGCAGTGTCCCAGCCACTCCGTAGAGTTGACGCCAGAAGGGGCCATTATGATCATGTAGCCTGAGCTCTGGCGTAACCAGAATCAGGTGCACTGAGGGGCTGTGCTGCTGCCCAGCAGCGTAGGGGCCAAGAGCAGCAGATACATCCCAGGCAGGCGACTGTTGGCGAGACGGCAGAGCAGGCAAAGGCGATCAATGGCTCGGGCCCAGCAGGGCTGCTAGCACTGGTGTGTGCGCTGCAGTGGCCGGCTAGGGGGAAAAGGGCTGAAGCAGCTCCCAGGGTAGGAGGCTGAGTGTGAGACGCGCTGGCTCCCCACGACGCCCGGTGCTGGGTAGGCTCCCCGGGGCTGTTCCTAGCAAGCTGGGGCAGCTGAGGGGAGCTGCGCCGGTCTCCATTCAGTGTAAATCTGCTCCAGGGCTCTGCTTGTTTCCATGGCGACCCTGCAAGTGAAATTTTCCATCCCGGATGCCAAATGCCTGTGGATGAGGCACAGCCCTCCAAGGGTTACCAAATATAGACAAAAGCCGAGCGAGCGCTGCACAGTGCAGGGCAGGAGCGCGCCCAGAGCACTGGCAGGCGGCAGCGTGCAGCAGGAAGCCTCAGGCCTGACACCCAGCACTGCGGGCAGGTGCCTCAGAGCAAGGCCCTGCTGCTGCTCGCAGAGAAGGGGTCAGGTCTGGCCTGCCAAACGGCTCATACGCCGTAACGCTCCAGAGCTCCACACGTACGTGGTGCCCGCAGGCTGCTCTGCCGCCCTCGACTGCTGCAGAAGGCATCTCAGCGATGTTACCGGAGGGGGAGAGTCGCAGCCCCCGCTCTGCTCTAAACACATGCCCCTGCCCGTGTCTGTCTCCAACTACCCACTGCAGCCCATGAGGTCCCAGCATGCATTGCTCCATCTTGATGCAAGCAGCCAAGTCTCAGGCCCTTCGGTCCGTACAGGTCACGGCTTTGTATTAAGGATAAGGGCTGCCAAGCTAAATACAATTAGCCGTGTCCTGCGCACTGGTCACCGCCCCACAACTGAGCACTATTCTTCCTCAACAGGATTGCCCTTCGACCTCCCCACACCGGGCTGCGAGGGCCCCAGCCCACGCTGCATCACTGAAGGAGTGGAGGCAGCTCAGCACCTGCAGGATTGGACCTTCATAAGGGATGTTGCCGAGCCAGGCGCATATCGTATCGGGAGCTCTAGGTTTAGGACCAACGTGGGCTGTGCCCTGAGGATACCACAGACACTGCTGGCAGGAATGCAAGAGGACGGCATGCGCTTCCAGGGCCTCTAGATCAGGGCAGTCTCTGCAGAGGGCTGGAGTCCCAGCCTCCCTGTGACACTGTCGGGGCCATAGCGAAAGGGGAAGGAGTTACTCCCCCAGCTGGTGTCACTCACGTGGTCTGCAGGAGCTCGGGGTTGGGGACGCACTGCAGCCGGTGGGAGAGGAGCTGGAAGGCACTGCTCTGAGGCAGAAGCATCAGCAGCCCGTAGAGAGCCTTGATCAGGTAGGGGTTATTCTTCACGTCCAGCAGCTGCAGGCGCAGATCTGTGGCCAGAACAGACAGGCAATCAATGGAGGTGAAAACAATCCTTCCATCCGGCAGCCAGACCCCCCACCAAGCCCTCTGCGTGGGTGCAGAGAGAGATCTGGGTCGTTCTTTACAAACCCACCCCAAACTTCTCCCAGTTGGCCCAGGAAAGCACCTCCTGGGTGCCATGCACCCATCTGCTTTCAGAGGGCCTGGCAAGCACAACCCCCCGAGGTCCCGTTATTCTCTACCCCACAGACTGCTTTCATGTACCATTGCTTCCAACACCCAGGAGTCCCCTTCCAGCACCTCTAATGCCACAGCAGCTTTGTGCCCCTCCCCCTCCGCTAAGCATCTGTGCTTCCAGCAGCAGCACACCCAGTCTGAGTCAGGAAGACACGCTCCCTTCTAGGCCACTGCTTTTGCCCCTGACCTGCAGGCCCGCCACCGTCCCCAGCTCCTCTGCAGGGATGTGATGGCATTTCTCAGGCACAGCCTGAATTTGGATTCCTACACCAACAGAGGCAGGCTCAAAACAGGGCAAAATGCTGCATCTTTTCAGACAAACTGCATTTACAAAGCACCCCACGGCAGAAGGAGATTGCTACGGAACCCCTGCAGAACGAGACCCGCCAACGAACCGGGGCTGCAGCTCACAGACCCCTCTCCTTTTTGCTTTGGGAAGCAAAATCTACCAGAGTCAGTTGATTGGATGGTTTCCCTTTACCATTTCCTTTCTAGGCCTCCCCCTGCTGCACATCCCTTCACCACCTTGCAAACAGGTTGCTCACAAATTATCCAGTTTAAGATGTAGTTCTACAATGCGAAGCAGCTCTTTTCTATTCCACAGATCTACTCCTTGCTGTATTCAGTCAGAATCATAGACGATTAGGGTTGCATCTGATGGAGTGGGCTGTAGCCCACAAAAGCTTATGCTCAAATACATTTGTTAGTCTCTAAGGTGCCACAAGTACTCCTGTTCTTTTTGCGGATACAGACTAACACGGCTGCTACTCTGAAACCTAGGGTTGGAAGAGACCTCAGGAGGTCATCTAGTCCAACCCCCTGCTCAAAGCAGGACCAACACCAACTAAATCATCCCAGCCAGGGCTTTGTCAAGCCGGGCCTTAAAAACCTCTAAGAATGGAGATTCCACTACCTCCCTAGGTAACCCATTCCAGTGCTTCACCGCCCTCCTAGTGAAATAGTGTTTCCTAATATCCAACCTAAACCTCCTCCACTGCAACTTGAGACCATTACTCCTCGTTCTGTCATCTGGTACCACTGAGAACAGTCTAGATCCATCCTCTTTGAAACCCCCGTTCAGGTAGTTGAAGGCTGCTATCAAATCCCCCCTCACTTTTCTCTTCTGCAGACTATATAAGACCAGTTCCCTCAGCCTCTCTTCATAAGCCATGTGCCTCAGCCCCCTAATCATTTTTGTTCCCCTCTGCTGGACTCTCTCCAATTTGTCCACATCCCTTCTGTAGTGGGGCCCCCAAAACTGGACACAGTACTCCAGGTGTGGCCTCACCAGTGCTGAATAGAGGGGAATAATCACTTCCCTGGATCTGCTGGCAATGCTCCTACTAATGCAGCCCAATATGCCGTTAGCCTTCTTGGCAACACGGGCACACTGCTGACTCATATCCAGCTTCTCGTCCACTGTAATCCCCAGGTCCTTTTCTGCAGAACTGCTGCCTAGCCAGTCGGTCCCTAGTCTGTAGCAGTGCATGGGATTCTTCCGTGTTTAGAATGGTTTAGTCATCTCACAACAGAGTTAACACACTGGTTTCTACCTTCTAGCCCTGCAGAGCCAACACAGCTAAGAGAAGGAAGCTGGATTCAATTCCTTGTTGAGCGTCAAAATAGAATTTAGTTAATTCCAACCACAGGATCAAATCCCACCTCCGGTTGCACAGGTGACAGGAAGGGAAGCTTGCAACCATGGATGAGGCACTAGACTAAGGGCTTGTCTATGCTTTAGAGTTCATGTGGATGAAGATATGCTGTGAATTTAAAGGTGCAATAGCTGCTCCAGAATAACTGTATGTATAGACAAGCTCTAAGCACTTAGCTTGGTTCTCAGATTCCAGGCAAGATTGCAGCTCCAGCAATTAGGAAAAGCCATCTTTCTCGTACACCGAGCAGGTCTGATTTGATCTGGAGGCAGTGACAGCACAGACATGGGATTGCACAATGCCTTTTGCAGTAGTGCTGTTCTGAATAGCACGACACTTGCACTCTATGCATCTGAAGAAGTGAGGTTTTTACCCATGAAAGCTTATGCCCAAATAAATCTGTTAGTCTTTAAGGTGCCACCAGACTCCTTGTTGTTTTTGTAGATACAGACTAACACGGTTACCCCCGATACACGACACCGTGAATCGCCCAGAGTGGGTGCTGAAGAGGAACAGACATACACATGCAGAAATCAAGCAACCCCTGCAGAGATTACAACCGCCACCACCTGCATTAGAAGGAACGGTTGGAGTGCAGAAATCCTGCAGCGGGCCAGGTGGCCTGTGCCATCACCAGAGACTCTTTAGGAATGAAAGAAACACCTCCAGGCCTACCCCAAAGCCTCGCCAGCTGTGAACACGGCACAGCCCTTCCTAGTTACTGCACAGCACAAGCTACACGACACAGACAGAGCAGCAGCAGAGTGAAGAAGAAACCAGCAATAAAGAGAACGTGAGTAGCAATTCTGAGTGCCCCGCTGTGCTGCAATGGCTCGAGAGCCAGAGTACCAACCTCTGGGCAGACTCCTGGGTAGCGGCCCCACCCTACGCTGGAGGGGAGTTCTAGCCTTCTATTTCACCAACCAATTGTCACGTGCATACTCCTCGGGCACTATAGCAGTCTCAACAGGGCCACAGGGAGCCCCCCTCTGTCCTGCCTTTGTCACAGATGGCCCCTTATGCCAGGATCACAGCAATATTCAGGTTACTCCCATGTCCAAAGGACCCGCCACGTACCCCAGCTTAACTGCACCTGAGATCCCACACAAAGACAACACTCGTAGCCAGTACGATAATAAACTACCTCAAGGTGTATTAACTAGGAAATAGAAACCAGAGTTATTGACAAGGGTAAAGCAGGCTAACACACACACCAATGAGTTCCAATCTTAAATTTCAAAATGAAACAGATGCTTCTATACTAAGGAAGTGCTACCCGTCCTTTAGGGCTGACCCAGGCTAAGCACTGGGGATCTTTTGCTTATGCCTGGTAATCCTTGCCCCCCAGAGTCCAAGCAGCATAAAGATACCTTTCCTCCTTGTTAGGGGTTTTAATTCCCTTCCCCCTTTCTGCTCAGAGCTGCAAACTCAACTGATGAGTCATGCAAGCAAATTCTTCCCATCTTCACAGGGCTGGGGAAAGTAAACAACAAAGTCTTTTGCCCTCTTTAAGGTTCCGCACTAGTCCCTCGGGTGTCGCTGGGCAGGAACTAACTCCTTCCACTGGAGACCAGCATGTCACACTACTTAGTGGCTCTCCCCGGTCTGGTGAGCTACACAGTCACAGAGGCTTACAATGCAAACGCCCACATATTCCCTCGCAATATGGGAGACGGATGCTAGAATGAGATTAATGCAGGCAGCAATTTACAATCATTCCATACGCACTAAAACACACTTTGAATTGTAGCACCTATTTTAACAACACTAACACACAAGCGAGCCGGACTGGTCGCAGCTCTGCATTTGTCATTGTTCAACTGAGACCTGGGGTCCTGGGCATGAGCCGGACCCTGCCCTGCCAGCACCACCCGTGGCCAATGCAGATTGGTTTTCCGGTCACTAACCTGTCTCTGACCTACAGATCTAGCTCCAGGCAGGAGAGTTGGATCTGAAGAGCAATCCTCACTCCCCAGTGTGCCTGCGAGGCGGAGACCTGCTGCCCGCTGTATTGCTTGCACATCACTCCCTGCAGCAGATCTATGCTAGTCGTAGTCCTGGCTCCCCTGGTGAACTGGCCAAATCACCCTTCTGGGCCTGTTTCCCCATCGATAAAATGAGGATGACGAGACGGACCCACCTTTGTAAAGTGCTTTGAGATCCCTGCCAATCGCCTCTCCCCACCCACCTACTCTGCCAACGAGCCTCCCTCCGGACAGGGGGCAGAGCCATGGCACTCACATTTCCGTGTCTGCCTGCCCAGCCCTGCCAGCTCCCCGCCGTGCTCACGTGCAGGTCCTCGGAGCTCTTGGAGAGACCCACAGGAGGGAGGGCTGGAGAGTCCCTCCCTTCCCAGCCCAGGGCCAGGCATTTCCCTATATCCCACCTGATGTTAGCTGGTTCCCCAACTTAGGGGCAGGCAGCCACCTGGTGCCCCCAGAGCTCAGCAAGCCTCACTGTAGGGGGAGGGCTTACAGAAGTGCACGTCCTTTCCACCTTTAATTTAACCCATTCCCATCTCAATTAACCAGCCAAGACCATCTCTTCCCCCTCCTCACTCTATGCCAGCCCCGCAGTCCTGGGCTTGTAGCATTACAGGAATTTCCATGGCAACAGGCTGGGATGCAGCAAGATTTGGGAACAAAGCCAGCGAGAGAAGGGGATAAAGGAGAAGATGGACCCAGGGGCCCCGACAGGAGATCATCTTGAAGGCGACCCGAGACTGGGACAGATTAGGAAGTGCTAGGTACTTTAGGGTTTTAGCGTGGATGGGGGAGGCGAAGCTGCACAGAAATCTGTATTTCACGTCCTGGGCCCATGGCTTGGGTGGAGCAATGGTGTGTGTGTGGCCTGAAGGGAGGTGTATTCAGCCCCGACGCCCGACCCGGGCTGTTCAATGGAGCCGGTAAAGAGCATCCATGTCCCAAGAACACCAAACGTTGCTGTGGAGAGCCAGCAACTTCGCCACATTTGCACCCTCTCATCAGGCAGCACCGCGAGCCACTAGTCACACTAGTGACGTGAAATGGAGCTTAAAGTTCAACTCCATTCACTGCTCAAGGAGAGAAGTGGGCAGGAGAAGAAGCATGAAGCAATCACTACCCACAGAACAGGGCACCCAGCCCGGTGCCAGCCGTGATGAGGTGGTGGGAGGGCCCGCAGCCCAGCTCAGTGCAATGAATCTGCACGCACTGCTTGAGCGCTACCAACCCTTGTAAGGTGCAGCCCAAGACGCCAGGGGTAAGCGAGGCACTTTGGGACAGGTTTCCTTCTCTCCTATCTTGCAACGCAAGGGTAGCTAGCATCAGGCAGTCCCACCTCTCGGCTCTGAGTGCCTAAGGAAAGTGTCTGTCACAGGTCACATGTTCCTCGCGCTGCAGATCCTGCTTACCTGCCCCACTGATCTAGGTGGAACTGGGCCAATGGCACAGGCGGCTGAAATCAAAGGGCTGCTAATGCTGCTGCACGGCTTGAGCGACGGAGCAGAGCAGCCGGGTATGAATCAGCTGGGGTGAGCATTCCAAGCCAGGGCGCCCAAAGCAGGCAAGGCCCATGCCTGGGGCTCCCACTCACCCCGGATGGAGGAGCATGCCCCGGTCAAGTTGCCATCTGCAGTTGCTGTGTGAAGTGTGTCACAAGATTTAACATGGTCAAGGGCCTGTCTCCTACATGGCACTGGGATCATGTGACACGAACACCCAGAATCGGGACAGGGATCCTCCAAACCCACAGCCACTCTACTTCAGGGGCACGAACACCAGGACATGGAGAGGGCACCCACAGTTTGACTCCTGTGCCCCACAGGGCATCGGTAGCTGCAGCTTGGCACAGGCCCCTTGCCCATCACCCGATTCACTGTCGCCCACAGAAGTTTGCCACACAGGCTCTCTGGTCCCTTTACCCTTCCTGAGCAGCTGCTGCTGGGTGTGTCAGGAACGTGGTCCCAGCTCCAGCACTGCAGTGTTGCCAACTCAGGTGGTATCTGAGGTTCCGCTCCAAGTTCCAGCTCCTGGAGTCGTGATTATGCAAAACTCAGTTTTCAATTAAAAGAAAAGTTTCTAGCCTCATGGTTGCAGAGAAAAGCTTGACCATGAGCCTCGTGTGCACCCGACCAGCTCGGACCAGAAGGGGAAGGACCAAGCCCAAATTCCCTGCTTTTATAGGTCATGATTTTAGGCCAATCTCATGATCTTTGGGGGCCTGACTCCCGATCTGTGTATGTTGGGGGTTGGCGATACCATATGTGCACATGCTCTGGGACATCATCATCATCTCTAGAGCAGGGCTGGACTAAAGCCCATCATGCCACCGCTACAGCCCCACCCCTCACTCAGCAGCAGCCACGTGGGGTCTCCTTACCGACTACTGGAGCAGCAGCGGGGCACCCTTCCCATTAGCAGCAGTACCGAGCACCCCCCCCCCACCTCAGCAGCCAAGTGTATCTGATGAGGGGGGACAAGGGCAGGCATGCTGCACTCTTCTCCTGCTATATATGGAGTCCTCTTCTGGGGTGGGGTTAGTGGGCCTGCTCTCAGGGCAGTGGGCCTTGGAGTTGGCACCCCACTGAGAAGCATGGGACAGTTCATCCTTCTCTGAGCAATTCTTTCAGGCTCTCTCAGACGCAGGCAGACGTTGCTGCACTGGTTACACTCAGGTCACATTTTCAAGCTTTTCTTCCCACTCACGAGGGCTATCAATTTCCTTGGTTTTAAAATGAAAGCTGAGATTCCAGTGTAACCACATGACTCCAGCAGCTGAGGCCCCAAGCAGGGACGTGTAATACTGTGCCTTGGTCCAGCCTTGAATTTCAGCATAGGTGCTCTGGGAAGCTGAACCCTCGCTCTGCATCCACGGTGACAGCTGTTTTCTGCAGCGAGTAACTTTATCCCTTTGTTACCATCACTTCCGGGGTTTCCCAGTCCAGTGAGGCTGTTACATGTTGCGCCTTGCAGCCACATCCCCTTGTGCTGAGATCACAACACAACTCGGAAGTTAAGCAGTGTCAGGTTGGTCCAAGAGCTGCAGAAAGCAGTTGGGGTAACTCAGCGGCCTTCTGCTCGCTGGGTCTCTTAGACAGGAGGGACAAAAGAAATCTGCTGGCTGAGCCAGTCCATCTGACTGGAAAAGACAGTTACCTTTTTCCATAACTGGTGTTCTTTTAGATGTGTTGCTCATGTCCATTCCAGGACCCGCCCTCCTTCCCCAGTGTCTGAGTTTCCGGCAAGAATGAACTGAGGGTCGGGGGGAGCTGGCAGCGCTCCTTATTCCATGGCATATATGTGTCACTCCAGAGGGCACCAGAGCTGGTCCACTACGGATACCACAGAGGGAAAAACTCCCGGCACCGGTGCACATGGCGAGTACACACACCTAACATGGAATGGACATGAGCAACACATCTCGAAGAACACCAGCTATTTGCTTTCCTCTGATCACACTCAGTCCCATTGATCAGTTCCTAGAGTTGTATCTTTCCTTTATTCTATTAATGCTCATTTCCTCGACAATACTTCTCAATCAGAGTCTGCATGTGGATTTTAGAGCCCTTAAAATATCGCTCTTAAACCAGAAATTTTGGTCTCTGAGCAAAATTTCCCAAAGGCGCAGGCAGACAGCAAGGAACATACACAACTTACATTTTGTGGAAGCTGCTAAAGGTAGGGCTCAAACCCACAGTACATGGGTCCAGCTGACAGTCAATGACCACAGCACGTCTTCTTGAGCCACACATTTCCCATGACAACATACTACCTGGAAATCCTTGGGCTCTTAACCAAGCCCTAGACTTGCTGTGCATGAACATTTCATTGTCTTTGGCTCAAGCTACTAACATGCCAACCTGGAGTCCGTTAACTTAACCCTGAATAGCTTCAGTATAAATCTGCCCTCCTCCCGCTAGGAGCAGTGGGTGCCGTACACTAGCCAAACTCAATCCTGTGTGGCTGAGATAAGTTTGGGGATAGTCATAGTCTGAGCCCCAGGTGTGCACAAAACACAAAAAACAGGTGATTTTTGTAACATGATATTTTCAGGGGGGGCTGTATCCCAGGAACCCCATGCTTAGATGACCCCAAATTTGGACCATTAACCTTACCCCACATTCCCATGAGGCACAGCAAATTTTGAGACTACCTGCATCAGCAAGTGGATTTTAGAGCACTTAGAATAGACAAACACAACAGCAGAGCTGCCACTGCACTATAATGTATCTGAAGTGGTAGTTTTTTACCCGGGAAAGCTTATGCCCAAATAAATCTGTTAGTCTTTAAGGTGCCACCGGACTCGTTGTTTTCGCACTATAATGTTCCCCATCTCTCCATGTATATATCTTCACACAGAGACAGGTATCAGCTTTCCCATGCCACTGCTCTGAGCAGCATCACATATACACAGACTACGTGCAGAGGCCACACACATGAATCTAAGAGGCTCATTTTGGAATGGGTTCCCTCTGTTCTTTCCATCTCTTTGTTCAGTGCCAACGCTCTTAGTACTGTTAACCTACATTCGGAGCGCCCTCCCTCCGTGCTGCAGCGATCCAGCGTGTCTCTGATGGACAGTTCTACTGGAGGTCTCACACCGCTCACAGCAAAAAGTCTCATAACTTCTGCTCTATTTATTTGTGCAGCGCTGCCACTTGTGATGAAGGAGCAGGGAGGGGACATGCCCAGGGAGCCTGAGCATGCAGACAGTACATGCACCGGGCGCTCCTTCCCCCACACATGTACACACGCTCCGCTACTAGAAAGCAAATTATGGAAGGGCTCCATATGATCCTTACACGTGAAAATTGGACACTCAATGAGCTGCACCAGCTTGTCTACCTCAGTCAGGAAATCCACTGTGACCTCCAGGTCCCCGCTGGACATGTCTGTTAAGGAAATTCCACCATAAAAGAGGAGCAGCCTTGGTCACCGCTGACCACAGTTTAAGTAGCCAGCAAAGAGGCAGATACTTATCTGTAGCAATAGGAATAAGATGCAGTGCAGATTACCCCCTGCTTCTCTCTTCCATGCGACCAATTACTGCGTATCTGCTGGGGTTGCCCTGCACATCAGAGTCAGGTTTCCAGCTGTACCTATCACACCTGCAGATGGGAAATCACTGCCCAGCAACCAGTGTGTGCATAGAATTACCTGGCAGGGTGCACGCAAGTGCTGATCTGGAAACGTGACCGAGTCTTTTCTAAATATGGGCAGTAAAATATTAGTGTGTGTGTGATTTTGGTTTCTGGCTTATTTTGATTTCTGCTCTAACACCCCCCCCCTCCGAGCTCCTACTTCAATGTAACTGCTCCGTTCACCACCTATCCACCCATACCATCAAGCTGCACACAGCTGACTCCTACAGGAAGCCGCACAACAAATGAGAGTGAGGGGAGGGTGAATGATTAGGCAGTGGCTCCAAGTAGGAGGTTGAAGGAGGCTGCAAGGAGGTGGCCTAGAATTCAAGGGGACCTGGAGTCAACTCTTTAAACCAAGAGTCTCTCCAAGCCTGGAGAAAGTCAGGCTGCCCTTCAAGCCAGCAGTGGGTTTATCAAATGTGGGCCACAGAGATCACTGCGAGGAGCTCTCCATAAGGAAAGCGAGTGTTACCATTAGCATTGTGACAGCCTCCCCTTGCAGCCGGCACAGGGCTCTCGTGGCACCAATCCAAAGCGTTCCCATCCCCTAAGATGAACTCTAGTGCACAGCAGAGGGGATCACTTAGATCACTATCAAGCCTGTGCTTAGGGAAACGTACTTCGGGAGTTTCATGTTTTGCTGGCACATGGAAATAATCATTATGCTCAACATAAACAGTGATGTCAATGGAACTACCGGAGAACCACAGAAAACTGGTCTGGGTCCCGCCAGCAGAGCCCTCAGCTGCTGCCTCTGCCCAGGGCTTTCTAAACAAGGAAGCATTTTTGAGGCTCTGGATGAGCCGGCCAAATAAACCAAGGAACCAAGTGAGAAACACTCAGCTGAACTAGCAACAGGGGCCAAGGCGAGCCGAGAATCTCACAGGAAGGGTGACAGCTGGATCACACTTGTGCTGAAAACTAAAATAAAGCAGCAGACCGATCATGAGCCCATAGGCCCCATGTCTGCTGCAGGAATGGCCATGATTAACCCTGGTTCAGATCCAACCGGGACAACGCTCGTTTTCTGTCTGCATGGAGGGAGACAACCCCTCCCCCCTGTTATAGCACAAAGGGGCCGACCCCCAAGCTGCCACAGGCGTTTCTAAGGACGGACAGAGGCTGCCCTGGGGCACGTGTCGGGGTCTCCACTGCTTGTGAAAACTCTTTGGGGCAGTGATTCTATTCAACACCTGGCAATAGGTGCTACTGTAATATGACTAGCATTGCACGCATCAGCACTAGGAACGCAGCGCAGGAGCCACCAGCCGGCTGTCATAGCAGCAGCTGGGGGGGCACATGGATCCCAGGGTGCATCTGGGATCAGGAGCAGGGGAGAGGAAGGTCAGTGACATCAGCCAGCTGGCACAATGCCATCAGCTGCTCTCTGTGTGGGGCTCCTCTGAGTGAAGGGCCTGGGACTGGAGACTCCTGCCTTCGCCTTCACCCTGCCCAGGGCGGCCGCGGGGCTGAGCTTTGTACCCCGTTAGAGGGGAACGGCCCCATTGCACGGTGGGGCTTTAAGGACAGCAGGGTGACCCCTCCGAGAGCTGCATGAGGCAGTGGTCTCAGCTGCAGAAACGGACCCTACAGAGTGGGTGCCTGCCAGTGTAAATGATACAGGAGGAGGGGACCCTTCTCTTCCCCAGCCATTGTGCTCCCTGCTGGGGAGATAAACTCAGCCCTGCAGCGCTTTCCTCTCTCTGCACCCACAAAAATGAACCAGAGGGAGAAAATATCCAGCCCCGTCCAGGAAACGCTTCCAGGGCCATTACTCTCGCTCCCGCAGCAAGGGAGGTCTCCTGTGTAATGAGGGGAGGGTCGAGCTGGTGGGGGGCCGACCGGCGCAGCGAGGCTAAGGCAGGCTCCTTGCCCTGGCTCTGCACAGCTCCCCGGAAGCGGCTGCAGGGGCGATCAAGGAAGCTCTGCGTGCTGCCCCCTCCCCCAGCGCCGGCTTCGCAGCTCCTGTAGGCTGGGAACTGCGGCCAATGGGGCCTGCGGGCAGTGTGCACTGCGCAGAGCCGCCTGACTGCACTTCCGCCTAGGGGCCGGACAGGCAGGCTGCTGCCAGGAGCAACGCTGAGCCAGGGCAGGGAGCCTGCCTTAGCCCCGCTGCGCCGCCGACCGGGAGCCGCCTGAGGTAAGTGCTGCCCATCTGGAGCCCGCACCCCGAACCTCCTGCCCCAGGTTGGAACCCCTTTGCGCACCCTAACTCCCTCCCAGACCCCGCACCCCAACCCCTGCCCCAGCCCAGTGAAAGTGAGTGAAGGGGGGGAGAGCGAGCCCGGAGGGAGGGGGCTGGGCCTCAGAGAAGGGGTGTTTGGTTTTGTGCAGCCCTACGTTCCCTCTCTCTGCAGGGTCTGAGTGTTGTGCTCCCAGCTCCTGCTGGCTGAAGGAGCTTGGGCTTGTGCTTTCTGCTGCTCTTAGAGCAGCAAGTGAAGTAGTGTGTGCTGCCTGCCCCTCAGAGCGGGCGCTCACTCCTCTGGATGATCCTAGACCCGCAACTCCATTCGCTGTCCCACGTGAGCCAGAAAGGCTAGGGTCCCTGGGAACTGTGGAAGGCTGGCTTCCTGTTCACGGGTGACGTTACGGGAGCACCATAGCCGCTGGCCCAGAAGCAACGTCTTTGCTGCAGTCTGTCACAGTCAGGTCATTCACTCCACTGTGGAGAAGGAAGGAAAACGCAGTTTCTAACCACATCATATAACTCTCCGCTTAAAACCATTATGGAGCAGGGCAAGAATGCTGCTCCTCGGAGCTCCCAGCTCATCTGAGGGGAGGGGAAAATAATGGCAGCCAGAAGAGGTGAAAGGGTGGATGAATTCAGAGGAGCTGCTCAAGTGTATGCACGTGTGAACAACTCCCGCGAGCTGCGTCCTTTGCAGCAACCTGTCCTGGCAAACAGGTGAGCTCCCTGGCTGGAAGCGTCTAGGCAAATCGCTGACGTGCTGCTGACCCAACCCTGATTGCCACCTTCTTAGGGGCTGCTCTGGAAGCACATCCTGTTTCCTGGGGAGAGCCAGGCAAAGGCTGCTGCAACGGCAGCCTGATGGATGAAGGAGAGAGTGGCTGTAGTTGTGATGTGTGCACATCACGCCCAGGAGACGACTTGTGAGGAAACTGGCCATCTCAAAGAGATTCTGATAGATGCAGGTCCAGTGGCCCTGAAGGCCTCTTCTTCAGCCAATGCCCAGGCAATAGGGCAAGCTTGGTCCATGCCGCCTCCCACCAACAAGCCCCAGCCCTGACCCACAGATCTGAGTGGGTCCCCCGTTAAGGATGGGCAGAATAGGACGCCCCATGCCCTCCATGTTCTCCCTCCCCATCCCCACAGAAGCAGCATGATCGAGGAAAGAAACTGTCCAAATGAGCACCTCAGCCTCCACAAACGTCTTCAGGCCTAACAAACACAGCACGAAAACACTTGCACAAGGTATCCGAAGAAGTCTGTGGCGGAGCAAGAACGTGAACTCAGAACGCCAAAGTCCCAGGCTGGTCCCTTAGCCACAGGCCCATCCTTCCTCCCCAAAGGGGAGGGGGGCTGGGGTGTTGGGTCACTGCTTTCTCTGTGCTCTGTGGAACAGAGAACTGGTTTCACAAGCAGGGCCCAGCAGGAAGACTGTGGAGTAAAGTGTCTGCTGTCCTAGTCATGAGCACAGAGCAATTTTGACCCAATTCATCCCACAAGCTGCGCTCTCAATTTGCAGACGCCCCGGTATTTCAACTCCGTTTGTCTGAAAAGCCCCATTGGCTGGTACCACACCAGAGGAGAGAGTTTCAGACTTTTTCAGAATTATTTAGGCTTCTTGCAAGAGGGGGTGTAGGCAGTGAACTCAGGTCCTTGCTGCAGTTCCCTTACGCAAACAATATCCCAAGGCTCCTTCCCGGCCCAGGGGATGGCAAATGGCCTTGTTAGGGACCATCCTTAATCAGCTGTTTAACTCCACCACTGTTTGTTATGAAAACAGAGGCAGGGCTGGCTGCTCAGCTCTGACCTTGTGAGCCAGGAAGAGTCAGCTTGGCAGGTCTGCTGCCCTGTTTAGGCTACAAAGTGTTACCACTGCTACCCTCGGGCTCTCCCCCGGCCCACTCCCTCGGAGACCCCCAGCAGCACCAAAAAGGATACAACTTCTGGATGAGGTCGTAAGCATGTTTGTAGTTCTGGGTGAGGAAGCAGAGGGACACAGTCGTCACAGGGTTGTGGCACCAGGAGCGGTAGAGACAGCAGAACAGGTTACGACTCTCCTGGTGAAAAGAAAGCAAGCGGGAGTTAGACCCACGGATGGAGGGGTGGTGTAGTGTGCAGGGCCTCAGGTTCCAAACACAGAGTGCCTGCAGCCAGAAGGTCACTGCTCAGCCGGGCCAACTCAACCCTGCAGCCATCCAAATCTGGATTCTGTGGGTCTCCTGGAACAATAGTAAGGGCTAGATTTCCGGACTTCTGAACATACCAATACACTCCTAAGTTGTGCAATAGTGCATGAAGCTGTGGTATTTATAAATGCAAATGACCATCTCCAGCTCCCTGGCTATTTGCATGTGCAATTACCATAACTGTGCACAGCTGTGGTCAATGCCGGAGAAACTCATGCACAGCTGTTCATACATTTTCATGCAAGCATTTGTGGAGCAGGCTGGAAATCAGGTCTCATAAAGCTGTTATAAGAACACAGGGTCTGCTCTGGGTGGCTGGCAGACTGTTGTGCATCGTGGCACTAGGTTGCTGCCCTCCACACCAGCACTGGCTGCATTTCCATCGTATTATATGAAAGCTCTTCGGGGTAAGGGGAGCTCTATGATTGTAAAATATCAATGCACAAGTTATCCAGTATTATCCAAAATTGGGGTGGAGTGGAAGAAATCTCCCCTGGGCTGGGATCTTCCAAGCCAAGTTTCAAGCCAACTGACTAATAAGAGGTCATGAAGGAAACCGACAGACCCTTAACTCTGGTATCATCATGTGGACGCTATTGTGTGCGGAACCGGAGAACTCTGTGAGGCCAGGGAACACAGGCACAGCAAGGGGTAGAAAGGAGGGGCCGACATCTGTTTGGGTGTTTCCCTCTGCAGAAATAGCCAATAGTCCTCCTTAGTAGTTAGTGGTTTGGGAAGGCTGCCTATTGCGGCCGACAACCTGAGGCATGTCGGCTCCTTCTCTGCCCTGGCCCACGGAGGAGTCGTCTGAACCCCTCGGAGCAGCAGAGCGCACGGCGGGGGTCTGCACTATCCTGACACAGCTTGAATGACAAGAAAGGCAGGAGCACAGTGGCTGCTGACAGAGCCTGCTGCGCTCCTGTGTGTGGGCGGCGAGCTGCAAGACGCACCGAAGGACTGGGTCTGAAGGCTGTCTACCAACACAGGCCTGATTACAAAGGAGAGCTCTGAACTGAGTGCCAGGGAGCCAGGACACAGACCTCACCCCAGACTGGCAGCGGGACGGAACAGGGGATGCCAGCCTCAGCCCTAGCTCTGGAGCGGCGCCTTTTGCAGCCCTCGGCGTGGGGAGGGGTGACACCGAGGGCCCCAGAACGGATGCCCCCTGCAGGTGCTGGCTATTTACCTAGCTCTCGGAGGTGCGTTCACCTGACTGATGGCCAACAAGGCGGCGCGGGAGGGCTCTGAATGGAGAGCTGCCAGGCTAGCGCCAGCCCCTTTAGACACCAAGAAAACAGGAGTGCTGAAGAAATCAGGGCAGTCTTGGGAAAACACAGGATGTCTAGAAAAGAATTCAGCTGATGTCAGCTTCCCAGGCAGCCAGCTCCCAGGGAGCTACAGGGCGACTGTCTCCTTTGAGAGCAACGTTACAGCTGCGTTAACGCTTCCTCCACGACGGGCAGAGGCTCAGCGCGCTCACAGGCAGGCCTTGCTAATGCTCAGACCCCACTGCCTCTGGAGCCAAGGCTGAGGCTAGGGTGCGGTCTTGGACACAGGGACAGTGCAGGGTTGTGTCTCCAGCTGGCACGGGGGAGGCTCTCCACCCTTCAGTCCCCAGAACTGCCTTCCGGAGAGCTCACCCCTGCACCCTGCCTCCCAGGGCCTTCATTTCCCCAGGCAGCAGCACCTGCTTTGGGACCCAGGGAGCACCGCAAACTCCTCAGGGGTGAACAGCTGAAGCAGAGGGGCTTTGAGAGGAATGTGATGGGGTGATGCTACCACCATCACCTGTCCCCTTCCTAGCGTGTGCCTGTTTTGGGAGCTGGGAGGCAGATGTCAGCTGCTAGGGAGCACCCGTGGCTGTGGGGGACCCATGACAGAAAGGCTTGTGTGCCATGGGATCAGCTTACACAACAGTGGCTGCTCTCTGCTCAGCAGTGTGCAACAGAAACCCCCTCAGAAGTGGGGGCCGCAAAACTTGGAACTGCCTCCAAGCCCCCCCAGGTACCACCATTGACAATTGCCTCCAGCAATTAAAAACATTCACACTCCAGCTTGGCAGAGAGGGCCCTGGCACCAGTTCCCACTGGGGGATTTGTGTGCACTCAGGGGAATTTTAATACCCAGACTAGGGAGGGAGGGGGTCCCACAGCCAGGCACTGGTCTGGAGCTTGGGAGATCTAGATTCGATTGAGCTCTGCCATTCTTCCTATGGGACCTCAGCTGGTCTCAGTGCACCTCCATTTCTCCCCACCTTTGTCATCTATTTAGATCCTAAGCACTTTGGGGCAGGTACTGTCTGTGTCTGCAAAGCACCAGCACAATGGGGCCCTGATCTTGTTTCAGGCCTCTAGGAAGTACCCGAATACAGAACAGGTTGTGTGCAAGGACCACTCCTCTGGGGAGAGACTGAACATAGAGATTCCAATCACAGGAGACTGGGGAAAGTCCAAAACTGGATTTCAATGGAACTTGCAATGTTCAATTTGAATTCATGGCTTCCTTGACATAGTAACCTGCTTCTCTCTTCCGGCGTCATGATGCAGTGTACAAAGACAGGTACACACTACCCCTAACTGCTCAGTCCCAAACTAAAGTGACTGTTTTTTTCCTGAGATATCAGCATCTTTCTTGGCAACAGTTAGTCACATTACTGAGGATTATGGCTTCCAATGGGATAGGAAATGTGTATACGGACCCTACATAAATCAGGTCTAGTCACACACTGCTCTTGGACCCATCCTTCCTTCAAGTAATAACAAAGAACAATGGTCACATTTTGCACATAGATAGCCCCTTCCAACCAAGGACAGAAAAGCAAACAGCCTGTTAGGAACCATTAGGAAAGGGATAGATAATAAGACAGAAAATATCATAATGCCACTATATAAAACTAGTACACCCACACCTTGAACACTGCGCGCAGTTCTGGTCACCCCATCTAGAAAAAGATACATTACAATTGGAAAAGGTTCAGAAAAGAGCAGCAAAAATGATTAGGGGTATGGAACCGCTTCCATGTGAGGAGAGATTAAGAAGACTGGGACCGTTCACCTTAGAAAACAGATGACTAAGGGCGGATAGGATAGAGGTCTATAACATCATGAATGGTGTGGAGAAAGTGACTAAGAGTTATGTAAAGGGGTAAATAACACAAGAACCAAAGGTCACCCAATGAAATTAATAGGCAGAAGGCTTAATACAAACATAAGAAAGCACTTCTTCCCACAACACAGTCAACCTGTGGAACTCATTACCAAGAGAGGTTGTGAAGGCCCAAAGCATGAATGAGTTAAAAAAAGAACTAGATAAGTTCATGGAGAATAGGTCCATCAGTGGCTATTAGCTAAAATGGTCATGGATGCAACCCCATCCTCTGGGTGTCCCTAAGCCTCCAACTGCCAAAAGCTGGGAGTGGATGACAGGGGCTAGATCACTTGATTGCCTGTTCTGTTCATTCCCTCTGGGGCACCTGGCATTGGCCACTGTCAGAAGACAGGATACTGGGGTAGATGGACCTTTGGTCTGACCCACTATCGCTTCTTATAACCTCAAAGCACTGTACAACTGTTAAGCCTCAACATCTACCAGGGAAAGCTCAAGCCAAGAGTAAATCAACTGAGTCAGGAGCAGGTTAGAGGACTCCCAAGGCCACACTGTCAATGGTAAAGCGAAGAATCAGACCCAAATCCTAACCCTTGCATGATGCTCTCTTCCTCCTTGAACACTAGCCCCTGGACCGTACCCTGTGGGGAACACGAGTGTAAGGCAGACACCAGGCAAAATGCTGAGCAGCTCCTTACCATCAAGTCTTAAGATGGGGCTGCTGTTTAGGGCACCAAGAGGCAGGTGTGTGAGACAGACAGGAGAAGCAAAGGGGCTCGGAGGTTAGGTACTGGCCAGAGAAAAAGGCTAGGCATCTCCTTCCCCTCAGCCAAGTCCCTTAATTCATTCCAAGAGAAACCTGTCAGAAGTCAGCCTATGTCCTGAGGGGACAACTCTGCCCTAGGATCGCTAGGGGCCCTGGGTACATGACAGCCTCCATCACCTGCACACGGAGAGGTAAGAGGTGGGGAGAGCCTGTTTAATGAGGAAGTGTTCCTGTTCAACATACCGGGGTCTTCAGGTCCTTGAGCTGGTTTCGCAGTTGGAAGAGCTCGGAGGAAGTCAGCAGTATTGTGTTGAGAGTGTGGACCATAGTCGAGGCAAACTTGAGGTCCTCTTCCCGCAGCAGGATGTCTGCCATGGAGTGGAAGATGTTTTCAGCATTGAGAAGCAGACAAAGCTGCCTGTATGTCAAAAAGAGAGAAAAAGGGAGAAAGAGGGTTATTTACTCCAGTCTGTGACCATCATAGCAGATCCATACACCACACCCCTCTGGGAAGGTGCCCCTGTGTGGTGTAGGGACATCGGGGATGGAAAAGACCTATCTGGTCACATCCAAGTGCTTCCCCCGGGGCCATGACAGCACTGTCCCCTGCAGCCTATTCTCCAGTGCTGTGTTCAGAACCAGCCCAGTGTTCCAACCAATGGCGTTTCCACCACTCCCTTTAGCGCACTCATTTTTGTTGCCTTTTCCTGACTCTCCTCTGTTTTGGCCATGCCCCTGTGGAGCAGAGATGCTCAGAATGGAACAGGGTATTCTAGATGTGCGGGACAGCGTTCTCTGCCCTCCCCCTCACGCAACTCAAATATCACAGAGGCTTTCCACTGCTCCCTCTGGATTGCTTCTGGCATTGTGTGACCTGGAGGGAGCATTTCCTGACAGCTGTTCAAGGTGCCTGCATGCAGACCTAAAGGTTAGTGCTCCAGCCGAGGACTAGCTACCTTGACTCCCATGGGGCAGTGCCTCCCACCCAGCTCCCAGAACACTTCACAAAGGCAGGTAAGAACTGTCTCCATGTTACAGATAGGGAAACCGAGGCACAAATGGGTTATGAGAGTTCTGCAAGGACATCCAACAAATATGTGGCAGAGTCAAGAGTCAGATCCAGATCTCCTGACTCCCAGTCCACTCGAACACGGTGGTGTGGGGGTTACGACGGACGTGCTCCTACAAATACACTTTCTGCCACTATTGTTTCCTTTATAACAGCCCAGCTCCGCACAGTTCTGCTGATACAGGATGCTTCATAAGCTGTATCACGGGGGCTCAGCTGGTCACAGCCGGAATGTTCTGCTTAGCAAACTGCAGCATTCGCCAGGTTTTTAACATTTTTCACTAGAAACCAAACCCCAGATTTTCCTCAGCGTTTGTTTGGATTTTAGGATTTTCTGTTTGGTCTGCGATGCCTCCATGTCTCCCTAGCCCTTGCGGTTCTGGATGGTTTGTTCAAGGACACCTGAAATGCTGCCCAACGCTGGCTTTGCTATTCTGTGCTAGAAGAAGCCCCGGTCCAACAGCCTTCAGTACCTTGAGAACCCGGAGAAGGACGTGATCCATTCCCTTGTCGTCACTGGGCAACAAACAGGCTTAAAACCTTCAAGTCTCATTTTATTTTCAATGTAGAATAATCCATACAACGCGCCTTCTCCTGGAGCCCACTCAGTGACATGCAGAGACTTTCGGGGGGGAGGGGAGGGGCGGCTTCCCCTAACGTGCATGACATTCATTAAGAATTTCTTGTCCGAGTTCATTACAAGTACAGGGAGGCATTTCAGTGCAGAAAGTCCCCAATGTCTGAGGACCACATTAGCAGAGGTCAGCTAGTTGAGCCAGCAAAGCGATGCTTTCCCCCTTGTCTACACTAAGATCTTCCACCAACATTTCTCACTGGATCATGGGCTCAACTTGACCAATACAGAAAATATCCTACTGTAGACACAGCCACTAGCAACCCGCTGGGCTGGATCCTGCCGGGTGTTGGGTTCTCTACCTTGACTGACTTCACTAGATCCGGCTCTCACCAGAATCCTATTCAGATAAGCTCTGGGTGGGCTTGGGCACCAAGGATACTACTTATCTATAGCATGCTCCGGGGTAATGCTGAGTGCTGGAAATGTGTCTCCTTTCTTATCCTTAGGCTGACAGGACCCAAGGACATGGAGAGGGAGGGGAAGGACAGTCTGAGAGTGGATTCCAAAGCTACCTATAAACAACATCCCCTAGTGCACCACTGGGGCTCTTCCAAGCACTCATGCCATAACCAGGCACTGAGCACTTAACAGTGGGGTGCTCCGTGATACAGGTACTGTAGGGTTGTCTCAGTTGCATTCATAAACCCCCTTTCCTTCCCCATTAAAGTAGGGGGCAAATTCCTCATAGAAGATTTAATTGGATGGAGAAAGAGAAACACATTGTCCAGCTGATTGTCTGACGGTGCTCAGTGCGCCAGCCGTCTCCGGGTTTGCATCCCAGTACCCAGGAAGTGACACTCCCCATCAGGTAAACCAAACCAGAAACCGGAGCTATCACCTGGAGGCATCCGATGGACATTTATGAAGGCAAAAGCAGCAGCATGTGCATTCCTGAAGGGGCTGGGGCGTTAGCAAGCTGCTTGGCGAATCTTTGCTTTGACTGGCTGGGGGGTCGAGGCTGTCGGTCTGCCGATGGAACGCTCCCAGCGCGCGCCGATGGAACGTGCCAGACAGGTGCTGCTGCAGGAGCTCTGAGAAAGATCACAAGGCTAGTTCTCCTTGCCAGTGCTGTGCCTACGCTCTCCGAGGCAGCAGTGGCAGCATATGGTGACTTCTGATAGCACGTGCTGGATGCGTGGCTGAAGGCTGAGGCCTCTGGCTTAGAGAACAATAAGCATCCTCCGTTGCATATGGCTTCAAGCTGTGATCTCATCACATCCCATAAGCTAAACAGGGTCAAACTAGGGCGGTGATTTCATGGGAAAACTCAAGGGCAATAGGAAGTGGTGCTGGTGACTCAATAGGTGGCATTCTTCTCTCCAACGTCCCTGGAGAACCAGTGCCCCCGCTTGGCTGGGGTGGGGGGCTGTGCTGCTGGAGTGCTCATCTTTTGAATGAGATTTTAAACCATCTTATGGCACTTTTTGCACAAGCGAAGGCTGACAGCTCTAGTGTCTTGGCCAAACATGCTCTGCCTAGATTCCCTTCCTGTAGTTTTGGTTAGACACCGTCCTTCACTCCTTGTCCTAAGGTTGTGCAGTCATTCATCCCCTTCTGGAGAGCTGTCCCATTTCACTCTAGGGATGGCTGCACTTCTGTACTGGGCAAAGGGATTTCAGTTCGTGATGCCAGGCAACAAGTGCTTCAGGGTCTCTCCTGGCTGAAAGGCAACCCAGAGATACAGGATTGCTATCACTGCTCGCTAACCGTCTCCTCCTTCATTAAAGGTCCAGTACACCTATGTTGACACAAGTTACTTGATCTAGGCCATGCTTATGTGTCGCTACACTAACATGACTGTTTCAACTACAATCCTGGCTGTTAGAAGTTCCCTGAATAAAAAACAGCTTCATGGTGCTGCTAGCTACAGGATAGAACTATGACTTGCTTTGGTCCTTCCTTGTGATACTGCTTATTTTAGGACAATCCATATTAGATTTGATCAGTCCCTTTTGGCCTTAAAATCTATGAAGATCGTTCATTGTAGAAAGTTACCCCTCTTGGCAGGTGAAGAGCAGATTTTGCTAATATGTTTTTTAAACAAATTCTTAAAGCAGAAGGAAGCTGTCCACGAGTCAGACTGAGGACCTAGTAACGCAAGACTTGGGATGAGCACACAATGACGTCAAAGCAGCAGGGCTCTAGGGGGGTAAACCTGCCTTTCTACTCTGCTCTGGAGGCTCTGAGTCAGTCAAGCTTTGGATGAAGGAGACCCTGTTGAACATAATTTGCTTGGATTTTTAAACTGCTTTTGACAAGATCCCTCACAAGAGGCTATTAAAGACAATAAACAGCCAAGGGCTGAAGCGGAAGTGTCCCAAGGTGGATCAAAACACAAAGGAAACACTGTAATGAACAGCTGCTACTCAGAGTCCAGGGAGGCTAATAGCAGGATACCGCAGGGAGCAGCATTTCATAGATTACTGATCTCGAGGAGCAAGTAGGCAGTGGGTGAGAAGACCTATTTACAGCAGGTTTGGGAGAGCTCAGGGCTGGAGGAACCTGGAAGGGTGGAAGATGGGATACTGAAGTGTCATGCAGAAGGAGGAAGAGAAGGCTCAGTCCAGTTGGTGGGGATGGGCTCCCACATCACTAAGGCATCCTTACAAGTGCCCACCTTGCTGGCAGGATTCCAAGGGCTGAAAGCTCTCTGCAGGGAGGAGTGGAGAAGTCAGCCCAGCCACACTCCATCGGCAGGGCTGTCAGCCCAGCAGCTTTCACCAGCACACAATTCCCGGCAGAATTTTGGAAAACCAGTGCCACAGCATCCTCCGCACTCTCCTAAACAGGAGAAGGAAAGCGGTGCTTTCCTGGCAACTTTCTACCCTGGGTCCTGCTAAGCTCAGCGTGCACAGCAGAATCCCTCTACCCACGTGGCTTTCCTATGCTAGGAGCAGGGGGCTGGGACTCAGAGGCAGCAGGAGCAGCTCAAGGCGCCGCTGGTACAATTAGTGACGCAGGGCTGGCCGACAATTAGATTCTCTGTGCAGAGCTTTACGTAACCTAATCTAACATTCTTTATGGACTGTGTTCAAATGGAACGGGCAGCAATAAATAAGCCCATTTATATCAATTATTCTTGCATAACTGGCTGCAGACATGTGCTTTTGGGATTAAACACTTCCCCCCTCGGTGATCAGCACCGCAACAAACTGGCCAGGAGGCCGCTTGGGTCAGGATACGGCCCCTATTGGTATACCATGGTGAGTGGCAGCCTCAAACAGGAGCTAGCGAGGTTGCTGGAAAGGAAGGGAGACTGCCCTGGGGATGAGTTGCTTGCTTATTTCAAGTCAAACATGGTGCAGTGCAGCGGGAAACAAATCTTAGTGCCACAGCGAACTGCCAGGGAGGAACCATGGCACTGCAGGGAGCCGGAATCACCCCAGCAACCTTCGGGAGAGGGCTGGGACTGTTAACCAAACCCAGCTGTCTTGGCGCAGAGAGATGATGAGCAGTCAAGCAGTGCACAGGACTCTAGAGTCAAGGGCAAAAATATCCTTCCTCCTGCTATCAGGGGGTAGCCGTGTTAGTCTGTATCCACAAAAACAACAAGGAGTCCGGTGGCACCTTAAAAAGACTAACAGATTTATTTGGGCATAAGCTTTCGTGGGTAAAAAAACCCTCATTTCTTCAGATCTTCTCTTCCTCCTGCTGTTACCCCTGACCCCACACCCCTTTCCTCTGGCTCTTCCTGTATGCAATAGCCTTGGGC